ATGAGGAACTTACCTCAAACTCTATCAATGGGACAAAGGACATAGAAACTATCAATAAGAGACAAGAGGAAATGAAGAATATCATTTCTGAATTGAAGAACATAGTAGAGGGAATCCAAAGCAGGCTGGATGAAGCCGAAGATCGAATCAGTGAGATGGAGGATAAGGTAGAAAGAAGCTCCCAGAAAGAACAAGAAATGGAAAAAAGACTCAAAAAGAATGAAGAGGTGTTTAGAGACATGCAGGACAACCTGAAATGTAATAATGTCTGTATTATAGGGATACCAGAAAAAGAAGAGGAGGAGGAAGGGATAGAGAAACTCTTTGAAAAAGTAATGATGGAAAACTTCCTTAATTGGAGGAGAGAAAAAGCCACACAAGTCCAGGAAGCACAGAGGGTCCCATTCAAGAGGAACCCAATGAGGCCCACTCCAAGATAAATCATAACTAAAATTGTAAATATCAAAGACAAACAGAGAATCCTAAGGGAAGCAAGAGAGAAACAGGTAACATATAAGAGAGACCCGGTAAGGCTAGCAGCTGACTTCTCCACAGAAACACTCCAAGCCAGAAAAGAATGGCTACAAATATTGCAAGTCATGAAAAACAAAGGTCTGCAAACAAGACTGCTTTACCCAGGAAGGCTCTCACTTAAAATGGAAAGCGAAATGCGGAGTTTCCCAGACACAAGAAGGCTAAAAGAATACACCTCCACCAAACAAGCACTGCAAAATATGCTAAAGGACTGCTTTAAGATGAAGAAAAAGTCTATGAATACACACTTCCTTTCACAGTCACCAATACTTGATATGACCAATATTTAATACTTATTAATCTGATTGTGACAATGATGTTAATGATGTGTTATTTTAATTGTTACATAATTATTTGTTGAAACTAAACCTGTTTTTGTACATTTCTTGCCTATTTCCATTATTTTTAAAAAGCTTTAAATGACTTTGTTATTATTTATCCATTTTTGATTAAAGGTTTGTAGAATTTTTTCCCTAAAAAAAAAAACACTATTAACCCTTTTTTAGATGTGTAACAAATTCTTTCTTATTCTATTACTTGTCCTTTTTACTTTTTTATATGTATATTACTATATAGTCTTAAATGTTTAATATAGTCATATTGTCACTATTTTACTTTATAGCTTCTGAGTTTGAATAGTTCATTTCAGGAAAAGGAAAATATTAATTTGTATTTTCTCCTAAAACTCCTTAGATTTTACATATTGATTTTTAACTCACCTGAATATTTCTTGTATAATGTGTAATATAGGGCTGTATATTTTTTTTTATTATGAGTAATAGTGGTCCATGTACCTCATTTGTTGAATAAGCCTTATTTTCCCTATTGATTGAAATATATATTTAATCATATATTACACTGTTAGACAGATATATACATTTGTTTCTAGAATGCTCATTATATTTCATTGATCTACTTGATTATTTCTGTGCTGTTGTCATATTTTAATTATTGAGACTTTATAATGGATTTAATTTTTAATTTTATAATGGATTTTGACATTTAAAAATAAATAAAATCAATCTGCATTAAAAAAAAGAAGGAAAGAAGGAAGGAACTCCTACCTTTTGTGACAAAATAGATGTAACTGGAGAATATTTTGCTAAGTGAAATAAGCCATTTGGTGAAAGAAAAATACCATACGATCTCACTTATAAGTGGAATCTATTCAACAAAATAAACTAACAAACAAAATAAGCCACAGGCATGGAAACATGGAGCAGACTGAAAGTGACCAGAGGGTATGGGGAAGAAGGACAATGGTGGATAGAAAGGAAAGGGACTAGACAAAGAACATGTATGAATGGCCCATGGTAATGGACCATGAGGTGGGAATTGACTGTGGGGTTGATGTAGGGTTGGGATGTGTGGAGGGGAGCAAAGGGGGAGAAAGCGAGACAACTGTAATAGAATAAACATGATTTAAGATTAAAAAAAAAAAACCACAGTGAGATACCACTTCACCGTGGTCAAAATGGCCATCATAAAAAAAATCAACAAATGACAAGTGCTGGTGAGGTTGTTGAGAAAAGAGGACCCTGTACACTCTTGGTGGGAATACAGACTGGCACAGCAACTGTGGAAAAGAGTTAGAAATTTCCTCAAAAAGCTAAAACTGGAACTGCATTTTGACCCAGTGATTCCACAGCTGGGATTACACCCTAAGAATCCCAAAACACCAATTCAAAAGAACCTATGCATGCCAATGTTTATAGCAGCACAATTTATCCTAATTTTTTAAAGTGGCTTACAAGGAAGGAGATCTCTATAAAGAAGAAATAGTTTGGGATTAACTAATAGTAGGCCATGATTTATTCAAAGAATCAAAGGAAATTATCTCAATTTTTCACATATTTCCATGGGGTCATCTTCCATAACAGAAGAATGCTATGTTTCACTCCAATGCATAGATTGCTGAATACAAGGTCAGAGCCCTTTCACATGCTGCAAATAGATAAGAGAAAGAGTTAAATACTTTTCTCATTAAGGCTTGATGCTAAACAAGTAAAAGAATTAAAATTTGTAACAGATGAATAAGATGCATAATTGTACCCAGGTGTTGATAGTTCCTTAAATCTTGCTCTTGTCTTATTTATGTTTAATATTTATGCTAATACTAGTTACTATTTCTACATAGTTGATTTAGTAAAGTATTCTCTCTCCATGAAAAAATGTAAATTAGTGAAAAATCATAATAATTCTTTTTAATTCTGTTTATCATGCCAAGCTGTTCATTACATGATACCATAGCCAAAATATACCTTCCACTTGTTATCAGCTTATACAACTTGTGGAATAAACAAGGAAGAAATAGGCTCTGGAGTGTTAGCCTCGCATAGCAAAGGCTATACAGAGATGGCAAATGAGATAGCTACTTAAGAGTCACCAACATGGAGAAATATTGTCAGACTAACAAGCATTACAACAATTAGTCCCTTGAAGTAGAATCACTCTGCAAGCAACATGTGTGTTACTTTTTCATATTTACACTAGTAAATCATTGATACAAAACAGCCTTATCTTGTTGTTTCTATAAGTAAATTCCAAGCCAATGTATGACAGGGATGGATGTATAAATTAGCCACATTAATATATTTTTCTAAAACTATTATTCTATTAAAATCTCAGTTATGTATTTTTTCCTGAGAGAAAAACATTTTACTGCAAAAATATTTGATATATTAGTGTTTGAATCAGAGGTGGCTACAATAAACAGAAAAAGAAAGGTCTTTGATATTATTAAATGTCTCAAAGAAGTAATATAACTGTCTGTGTACTTCCAGCATTAGTCACATTATCTGCTAGGCTTTTCCCAGTAGAATTTGGATGGGTGGTTCAGGCCATTTTTCATTTGTGTCATAGCTGTCAGGGAACTCAAAACCTGTTCTGAATTAAAGTTACATTAACAATATCAATCCCTTTCATAGCATTTTTTTCCTTTACTTAGTTCTCATTTTCTATTTTTTGATGTTGAGTAGGCAGTAGCATTTCTGAGGGCCAAAATGTCCATTTCATCCAGTCTGGAAATCTCAATGGTTTTCATCTATCTTCTTTCCAGGCTTGAGTTTACTCATATATTACAAAAGCTATCAAGAGTTTGCTGGCACCAGGTTTCTCTGCACAGTGTGAAGTTATGCTTGCTTTCAGGAGGATGTTTTCTGCAAGCCATACAGATGGCCACAAGTTGTGCCCTAAAAGCTTGGTGTTATAATCTGCCTTGTATACCCAGTATGGTTTACTGAAATGTGAAGTGAAGTAATTTACAGATTTTTTTCCTGAGCTTTCATCAGATGACTTAAGGTTTTACTATTATACAATGGTTAGTGTGATGGTTTGTGTTACTGATTGAGAGCAGGAACCTATATGCTTTGGGAACCATTCAAGAGATTGATAGGATATGATCCATCAGTCCTTCTTTTCAGTGTGTACCCAAAAGAATTACAATCAGGATCTAGAAGATATATCTACACTCCCATGATCACTGCATCATTATGCACAATAGCCAAGCTATGGAAACAACCTAAATGATGTTTTCTGATGTATTAATGGATAAATAAAATGTAATATTTACATACAATAGTATATTACTCAGCCTTTAAAAAAATAAACCCTGCCATTCGTGACAGCATGGATGGACCTGAAGGGCATTATGCTAAGTGAAAGAAGCCAGGCACAGAAGAACAAATACTATGTGATACCACTTAATAAGTAATCCAAAATATCCAAACTCATAGAATCAAAGGGTAGAATGGTGGTGGCTAGGGGGAGGAGGTCAGGAACTATTAGTCAAATATTACAATGTTTCAGTTATAAAATACTGGTAAGATCTAGAGATCTAGTGTGCAACACAGTGTCTATAGTTAATAATACTGTATTGTGCACTTAAAATTTTGGTAAGAGGGTAGATATTATGTCGTGTCTTATCACATACATTCAAAATAATAATAGAGCAAGAGAAAACTATTGGAGGGGAAGAATATGTTTTGGGCACAGATTGTGTTAATAGATTCATGAGTGTAAACTATCTTTAAACTCCTCAAGTTATATACAGTAAATATGTACAGGTTTGAGTATGGCAATCATTCTCAATGAAGTGTTCTTTTTAAAAAAGAGAGATTGGTAGAGTTTATGTTCTATTATGAAACTTCATAAGTGGAACCATGGTCAAGATTGAAGTTTTATTCTTATTCTGGTCTCCTGCCTTACTGGTCTCAACCCTAGCCTGAACCTCACATCTTGCATTTCCCATCCCCTACACCCAGGAGTGCTCACGTGTTAGTCACATATCCCTATTCTACACAATCCGGGGTTAAAACTGGGAAATTTCAATGGTTTTTCCAATACCAGATTACACAGCTATTTTCTGCTTTAGATTTTCCCAAGTCAGGTGGGAAAAAAGATGAAAGGGAGACAAAAGGTGAATGGAGGAGTGTAGGGTAAGGAATGAAAATAAAAGAAGTAATGCAGTTCTTGCTTTGGCAGTGCACATACTAAATATGGAACGATACAGATAATATTAGCATGACCCCTGCACAAGGATGACATGCAAATTCCTGAAGCAGTCCATATTTTTTAGAAGGCGGTAGCAATATTTATATCAGAAAAAATAGATTTCAAAACAAAAGCCATAACGAGAGACAAAAAAAGTCACTACATAATACTTAAGAGAGTGGTCAAACAAGAGGATATAACCCTTGAAAACATATATGCACACAATATAAAAGCACCTAAACATATAAAGAAAATCTTGGAGGTCTTTAAAAAGGAGATCAACACCAATACAGTCATCTTAGAGGATTTTAACACCCCACTGTAACAATGGACAGATCTTACAAAGAATCAAGAAGGATGTTGCAGCATTGAACAACACTTTAGATCAAAAGGACTTAATTGATAATTACAGAACATTTCTCCTCAACAAAGCAAAGTATACATTCATTTCAAATACACATGGAACATTTTCAAAGAAAAACCACATGATAGGACACAAAACAAGCCCTAGATTATTCAAGAAAATTGAAATCATATACAGCATCTTCTCAGATCACACTGGATTGAAACTAGAAACCAGCCTTAAGGAAAAAACTCAAAAACATTCAAATACATGGTGACTGAATAACATGATATTGAATAATGAATGGGTCAAAATGAGATCAAAGAAGAAATCAAAAAGTATCTGAAAAAAAGTGAAAATGAACACACACCAACACAAAATCCATGGGACACAGCGAAGGCAGTCCTGAGAGGCAAGTTTATAGCAATACAGGCCCACTTAAATAAGATAAAAACATTTCAAATAAACAACCTAACCCTACATCTAAGAACTGGAGGAACAACAACAAACAAAGCCCAGAGCAAGTAGAAGGAAGGAAATAATCAAGATCACAGCAGAATTAAATGACATAGAAACTAAAAAAAAAAAAAAAAATACAAAGAATCAATGGAACCAGGAACTTGTTCTTTCAAAAGATAAACAAAATTGACAAACCTTTAACCAGACTCATCAAGAAAAAAAGAGAGAGGACCCAAAGAAACAAAATCAGAGATGAAAGAGGAGGAGTAACAACCAACACCACAGAAATAAAAAAGATTGTAAGAAATTACTATGAACAACTATATTTCAAGAAATTGTACAACCTAGGCAAAATAGACAAATATCTGGAAACATACAATCTCCCAAAACTGTCTCAAGAAGAAGCAGAAAGCCTGAACAAATTGGTAACAACCAGCGAAACTGAATTAGTAATCAAAAAACTCCCAGTACACAAAAGCCCTGGGTTGGATGACTTCACAGGTAAAATTACCAAACATTTAGTGAAGACCTAACTCCTATCTTTTTCAAACTATTCAAAAAATTTCAAGAAGAGAGAAGACTCCCAAACTCTTTTTATGAGGCCACTATTATCCAATTTCCAAAACCAGGTAAAGATACAACAAAGAAAATTACAAGCCAATATCTCTGATGAGTATAAATGTTAAAATCCTCAACAAAATATTGGCAATCCAGATCCAGCAATACATTAAACAGATCATACACTATGATCAAGTGGGATTTATACTTGGAATTCAAGGATGGAATAATGTTTGCATATCAATAAATGTAATACACAACATAAACAAAATGAAAGACAAAAATGACATGATCATATCAATAGATGATGAGAAAGCATTTGAAAAAATCCAGCAGCCATTTATGATAAAAACACTCAGCAAAGTGAGAATAGAGGGAGCATACGTCAACATAATAAAGGCCATATACCAGAAACTATAGTCAACATCATACTCAGTGGGCAAAAATTAAAAGCATTACCCTTAAGATCAGGAACAAAACAAGGGTGTCTGCTCTCACCACTCTTATTCAATGCATTACTGACACAGCGATACAGTTCTAGCCACAGTGATCTGACAAGAAAAAGAAACAAAAGGCATCCAAACAGGAAAGGAGGAAGTAAAATTATCATTATTTACAGATGGCATGATAGTGCACATAGAAAACCATATAATCTCCACACACAAAAAAAAATTACTCTACCTAATATGTGAATTCAGCAAAGTAGAAGGACACAAAGTCAATTTTCAGAAATTGATGGCATTCTTCTACACCAAAAATGAAGGATCAGAAAGAGAAACTAAGAAAAATCCAATTTACAAAACAAATTAATAAAAAAATAAAGTACCTAGGAATAAATGTAAACAAGAATGTAAAAGACCTGTATTTGGAAAACTATAGAGCACTGAAAAAAAGAAATTGTGGAAGATACAAATAAATTAAAGCATATACTGTGTTCATGGATGGGAAGAATTAACATCACTAAAATGTGCATACTAAGCAAAGCAATCTATAGATTCAATTCAATTCCTATTAAATACCAATTTCATATCCACAGATCTAGAATTAATATTCCAGAAATGTATGTGGATCAATAAAAAGACCCCAAATTCCCTCAGCAATCTTGAGAAAGAGCAACAAAGTAGGAATCACAATACCTGATATCAAACTATGCTAGAAGGCCAGTATAATCAAAACAGTCTGGTAGTTCTGAAACTACCAGTATAGGCCAGTATAATCAAAACTGTTCTGGCATCAGAACAGAACATAGATCAATGGAACAGAATAAAGAGCCCAGAAATAAATCCATGTCTCTACAGTCAACTAATATTTCACAAAGGGGGAAGAAGCATAATAGAATAAAACAGTCTCTTCAATAAATAATGTTGGAAGAATTCGACTTGCATATGCAAAAAGATGAAACTAGACCACTAAATCACACCATACACCAGAATAAACTCAAAATGTATAAAGGACTTAAATAAAAGTCACGATACCATAACAGTCCTAGCAGAAAATATATCCAGTAAAATATCAGACATCCTATGTTGCAATATTTTTTGCCAGTATATCTCCTAGGGCAAGAGAAATAAAGAAAAAAAATTTAAAAAGGGACTACATCAAATTAAAAAGTTTATGCATTGCAAAAGAAGACAAATCATCAAAATGAAAAGCGAATCAACTGTATGGGAGAACATATTTCTCAATGATATATCAGACAAGTGTTTAATCTCCAAAATATATAGAGTTTATACGACTCAACACTAGGAAGGCAGAGAATCAAGATGCGGGAGGAGTGGAAGTCACACTGACGTCCACCCAGGACCAACCTGGAATTACAACTAAATTGGGGAGAAATCGCCTGGAACAAACAACTGAACAATATGGAGAGAAGAGCCCTGTGACCTCAGAGACAGAAGAACCAGCTTTAGTGCAATCTAAATGGTAAGGAGTGCAGTACAGACTTGAGAAGGCAGGCAGGGCACCCACAAGCGGCAACACCAGAAGGATATTGAAACGGCCAGTTGGATCCCCCTGAGAAGAGTAGGGTCTAAACCATAATCGGGGATCTCCAGCCTACAGCACCAGAGACCAAAAAGTACAGAGAAAACGGCCAGCTGCAAAAAATGGCAGGGATACTGTCTGCCAAAGACAGGCGGCTGGAGATGCAAAGAACTGCTTAAAGAGCCAACACATACATTTTAATTTGCAGCCACTTACCAGGTCTCAGGCAGAGGCAGGGACATAGTAGGCTACAGGCACCTGAGGAGAGACTGGGGAAGGAGACTTTGGGGAGAGAACTGAGAAAGTAGCTGGCAGGATCTCAGGGCTGACTCATCCACTATGCGACAGCAGCCATCTTGCTAAGGCAGAGACCACCACCCCTTGAGTGGCAGCAGAATCAGAGGACCCAATAGCCCCAGCCCAGCAGGGATTCCACCCCACTCTGTGCTGTTGAAGCCACCTGCTGAGTGCAAAGTGTCAGTCACAGATAGTAGATCCATGACTAAAGTGAGTGAAGAGAAGTCTGGAGACACTTGAGGAGAGACTGGGGATGGAGGCTTTGGGGACAGAACAGAGAGAGTAGCCAGCAGGATCCTAGTGCTGCCTCCTTCCCCATATAGGAGAGGGTGAGAGGACCCAATAACTTCACCCCCCAGGAGGGACGCCGCCCTGGCCTGAGGTGTCCAAGGCAGCCTGCTGAGTGCAGAGAGACTAGATTAACAGCTGAAGACAGACACAAACAGTAGACTCATGGAAGTCTCGAACAGACTGCCTAAGGTCAGACAGGGCCTACATCTCACATCATCAGAGGCAGATCCAGATAGTAAAAACAGCGGTCTCCTATCATAGAAGTTCCCACCACAAAGTCAGGAAATCAAGACAGATTCAATTTAAGAAGCAGAAGCAACAAAGAAGTGTCTCACAAATAATAGGAAGACAACGAAACACCCCCCACTGGAAGGGAAAGGAGGAATCCCCACAAAGAGAACTAAATGAAATAGAAGCAAGTAAACTATCAGATATTGAGTTCCAAACAATGGTTCTAAAGAAGCACAATGAGCTCAGTGAGCTCAGAGAAAATTACACAAAACTACAGGGAAACTACATGGAAATTAGTGAAAACTATATCAGCATGAAAAAGGACATAAAAACTATCAACAAGAGGCAAGAGGAAATGAAGAATACCATTTCTGAATTGAAGAACACAGTAGAAGGAATCAAAAGCAGGCTCGAGGAAGCAGAGGATCGAATCAGTGAGCTGAAGAACAACGTAGAACAGAGCTCCCAGAAAAAGCAAGAAAATGAAAAAAGACTCAAAAAGAATGAAGAGGCATTGAGGGAAATGCAGGACAACCTGAAACGTAATAATGTCTGTATAATAGGGATACCAGAAGAAGAGGAGGGACAAGGGATAGAGAACCTGTTTGAAAAAGTAATGACGGAAAACTTCCCTAATTGGAGAAGAGAAAAAATCACACAAGTCGAGGAAGCACAGAGGGTCCCATTCACGAGGTACCCAATGAGGCTCACCCCGAGACACATCATCATTAAAATGGCAAATATCAAAGACAAACAGAATCCTAAAGCAAGCAAGGGAGAAAGAGGTAGTAAAAAATAAGGGAGCCCCGATATGGCTCACAGCTGACTTCTCAACACAAACACTGTAAACCAGAAGGGAATGGCAAGAAATAATACAAGTCATGAAAAGCAACAGCCTGCAACCAAGACTGCTCTACCCA